TAAAGAATAAAATTCACTCCCCTTCCCCCCCCCCCCCCCCCCCGAAAAGACCTACAAACTGTATTCACTCCTGGAGCTGTCCCTTTGAATCCTGTCACTGTGTTTCAAGAGTAATTTTTTTTTCTTAAGTCTTCCTCGCTCTCAAAGATGGGCTAATCTAGCAGCACTTAGATGTCAGTGATGAAGAATCCCTTGCTAACAACAAATGTGTATGTTTTCACTGTAGGAAAGGGCAGAGAGAATGTTTTCCCTTGGGATCTTCACGAATACAAATTGTTTTTGCAGATACCTGAAGGTGATGGATCCCACTGAGAGATGTAATTAGCTGCAACAGGCAGTAGAGTACAGCTGTGTCAGGTTTCCTCCAATACAGCACACTTCTTCCTCTGACCTAGAATAACAGTTTCTTAATGAAGTACTCAAGCCTGCTTTTAGCCCTCTTCCCTGAAGCTGGTAGGTAGGTGTGATGTTTAGTTGTGCTAGTTACTGCTGTGTACAGAACATCAGGAAGGCATTGGGATGTTTTCCATCTGTGTTGTTCCTGACACAGTCAGACAGGGCGATCCCACTGCCAGGCTACATATCTGAATGATCTGGACGTAGCTGGCAGCTACATGGGCTGGGACAGAGTGTTTGAACCCTTCTCCATCAGAAGCTTGGAACATCTCTTGAATCCTGCAGTTCAATATAAGTATTTGAAGTTGAAAACTGTGCTAGAACTTCAGCCTGAGGATACGGTTGCAGCTTCTGACTGAAATACTAGAACAAAATGGGCTCTTGGATTTGCCCTGAACTAGTCTAGGAAGTGTATGCTTTGGAGAATGCTAGGGATAAAGACAGAGACCTTAGCAATGAAGAATATTCTGCATTAGTATTTGCAGAATCCCTCATGATGTATCTGGTAGCCAATTTTTTTTCCATTGGTCAAAAGCCTGAGGAAAGCTGTTCCTGTAGTATGCAGATGACTACAACTGCTGATGGAAAAAATGCTCTTTTTATATTCAGCTGTCAGTGACTCACATGATCAATTTCATAACTCCCTTTGTATGGTTGCTTATCTGAAAATGTTTAAGTTTAGATGCCTAATGTCCAGCTAGGTGCGGGCATCACAACAGAGACCGTCTGGTGCTTATTTTTGTTATAGGTATCCTATTTGATAGGTAGGAGCTGATCACGGTTTCAGTTGCTGATATTCTGGATTTTGAGTAGCAGAAACAGAGCACAAAGCGGAGCTTGTTCTCCAACATCATTTTTCTACCTAGCCAGTTCTCAAGAGAGTTGCTCCTTATGAAACAGCCAGTGGCATCTAGGTTAAGGTCCCTGTAATAGGGTAGTGCCTGCACGTTGGTTGTGGTTTTTCAGTTAAAAGTTTGTACTCGGAACACAGCTGGGCTCTGTATGATGAATGTCTCTTTCCCCGGGACATTTCGTAGCCTTGGCATCTGGTGCTGCTTGGCAGAACCACAGCATTTGCATCTTTGAAATGAGGATCTTTGGCTTCGTTCTCTTCTTGAAGATGATACTGCGCATGTACCTCGTTTCAAGTGTTGGGGACAAGAAAGACGAGATACATGGTGTGTCAGGATCTGGCAAATGAGCTGTTCCCTTTGCTGTGCAACCAGGAGCGTTGCTTAATACTCTCTGGTTCAGTAACTGAATGCAGCCATCTAACATGTCCTCTGATAGCTTCCAGCTGTAACATTTTCTGTGTGTTTTGAGGTTTGTTGTTGTTGTTGGGGGGTCTTTTCTTTCTTTTTTTCTTTTTTCTTTTCTTCTCCGTGCAAATACAGTGCTGATAGAAGAGCTTGGCTTGGTGAATTCCTGTTACAGCAGGGCACTTACCCTGTCACAGACAGGCCTTTCTGTGCTGTCTGTCATCTCTTACCTGCTTAAGGCCAGTGGAAGCAAATCGTTTTACTCTCTTTTTTCCAGGTGGTGAAAGCATGTAATGAAGGTGTCAGGAAGATGAGTCGAACAGAGCAGATGATCAGCATCCAGAAGAAACTGGAATTCAAGATCAAGGTATAAGCATAGGCTGGTAACCCTTGGGAGACAGCGAACCAACAGCCTCCAGGTGTTGTGCGCACATGCATGGCAGTAGTAACCTAGTTGTACTCCTTTTATTGAGTGTTCAGTGGTGGCCTGGTCCATGCTGTCCCCTTCTGAAGCCTTGGAAGGGGATGCTGTTGCTGCATCCATGCACGTGACCTCTGTGCACGTGCGCTGCAGAAGCCGGGGGCAGCGCTGTGGCCAGCGTGTGGCCGCCTGTGCGCATTGCGTGGCTCCTGCTCCAGCACTCAGTTCTGGCTCTTCCCTCTCACCTCTCCTCAAAATGCAGGTCAGCTTTCAGCTATTATTTTACATTACAAATGAAATTAAAGGGAAACGAAAGCTACAAAGCAAAACACTTCAAAGCTGGAAAATACCAAAATGAAGACTGTCCCACCATTTTAATTCATCCCTGTGTTTATGCATTATGTACAGTCTCTAATTACCTGCTGATGATCTGTTTTGGCTCCACTCAGGGAATGAGTGAATCAATATTTAGGGGTGTCTGACCAGACGTCATTTAATATATGCCATGAAAGTCCAGTGCTGAATATAAAGTTGCCAGTTCTTTTCTTGAGTGCTATGGAGATGCTTCTCAGATCTGTCTGCTTCACAAGCTTTAAGGAGCATATTTAGCTTCCCAGCAACCTTTTTACGTACTTGGACAACCAAAGCGAAAAAATTTGAGACTGTTTGGAAAGCCACACTGGGCACCCAAGAATTTAATTTTCCAGAGCACTTTACCCGTGTCAAGGCTAGACCACAGTCCACAGGACAGCAGTAGATTGGGGTAGCCACAAGACTGCCTTTATCTCTTGTAAAGCTGAGGCTGTAATGACAGGCAGGAGCTGGTTCATCCCTGGCGCAGGCCTGCCTTGGGCAGACAGGCAGTGCTCCTCTGGTGAAAAGAGTGCAAGAATGTGAAAAGACAGACTGTGCCACCATGCATGTGTTGAACACAGGGAGAGAATGAAGGTTGAAAGAGTACCAGTTATGCAGGTATTTTCCAATATTTCAGTCATTTGACTGGAAGCATAGTGTTCTAATATAAGATGTGCTTTGTTCTGGGCTTCTTGTTTTTAACACAGCATGTGGTAAAACCCTAGCAGAAGTGCTGTTGTGGCTGCATGGACAGTATCTCCTCCTGGCTGGGACAGACCCAACCAGTGAGAACCCGTTTAACCTGTTTTTTTTGTAGCCAAAAGGCCAAATACACGTTTTTGAAAGTCAGTCTCCCTGGCCAGAAAGGCTCAGCCCAGATGATGAGACGTGGGATCTCCCAGAGACAGATCAGACTGTGCAAGGCGTACCCTGGTGTTTAAATCCAGCACTTGGCACTCCAGCATCGGCATCCTTGAGTGTTTGTTCATTCTCGGGCCCCTGCCATGTCCCTGTCTGAGCTCCATTATGCTCTGTTCCGGGCTGCGGTGTGGATGGCAGAGCACACTGCCCTCTCCGTCCAGCTCTGCTCCATACTCTGCAGTGCAAGTTGTGGTGATGGGAGCTCACTGCCTGCCCTTCTGCATCTCCTGTTGCTTTCAGCATCTTGACCGCATAAGCCCATGGGTTTTTGCTGGTCTCCTGATCTTTACCGTCTTTTCCTTACTTCTAGTCTGTGCCCATCATCTCTCACTCCCGCTGGCTGCTGAAGCAGGGGGAATTGCAGCAAATGAACGGTCCAAAGACATCACGAACACTTCGCACTAAGAAACTCTTCAGAGAAATCTACTTGTTCCTTTTCAATGATCTGCTGGTAATTTGCCGGCAAATTCCTGGGTGAGTGCAAAATTCGGGTAGTACATGGGGCACTTCATTAGTCCTATTTGCCCCTGGGTTTATCCAAGCTGTTATGCTGTGCCCCCATCCTGTCCCCCAGGCACAGGAAGGGCATCCTGGCCTGACCTGTACACCCCCTCCAGCAGTCACCTTGCCTTTGAGCGCAGTTGACTCTTCACGAGTGGCACAGCTCTCTCCAGCTGAAAATTTGTGGCAAACAGGACTTTAACAGATTCCCGGCCAGGTCTCCCAGCAGGGTAAGCGAGCATGTATCCACCAGTTTCTGCAGAGTGACAGTGAGCTACATGAACTGGTGGGCTGACCCAGGAGACCTGTCCTCCTGTCAAAAAGTGATTTTTGACTCATCACTGCCTGAAGAACAGCTCAGACTTAGTTAAACTTCTAAGAAAGCAGGCTAGAAAATTTGAGCAGCAGGGAGGGGTATAAATTTAGGCCTGAGGCTAGCGGTTATATTTGACATGGTGTAACCTGCCTCAGGAGGAGGAGAATGTCATCATGCTTAGGACTATGTCTTGTGCAACTAGACACTAGTGAAATACAGCAGCACAAACAGACGGGTCCCAGAGAACAGCACGTTCTTTGTAGCATTAACTAGACTCACCGGTAGAGAGCATCTTGCTAGTCCAGCGTTTCTAATAAACATGTCGCCGCAGTGTCTGTACGCCTGGAAATATTTTGCTTCTGTGGCAGCTTGTATCCAGAAAACACAGAGGCATTTTACAAATAGGAATGAATTAAGCCTCACCGTCCCCTTTGAAGGAGCACCGTCTGTGTTTTGTACATGGGGCGCTCAGACAGAACAAGCAACTTGTTCTAGGCCATGCGGGGTGCCTAAGGCAGAGCAAGGAGAGGGTCTCTTGCTTTGCGGTGGGTTTTCATAGCCACCTGCTCATCCCCTCCCACAGCAGGGCATCTTTTATCTTCCTGCCATGCAAAGGTTCCTGGTCAGTGTCCCCAGTACAGTTCTGGGTGGCTGAAGCCAAAGTCTCCTGGGATAACTGCAGTTTTTCGTAATCCTCTAACCTCTCCCAGGGACAAGTACCAAGTGTTTGACTCGGCTCCCCGGGGGCTTCTTCGGGTAGAGGAGTTGGAAGACCAGGGGCAGAGCTTGGCCAACGTCTTCATCTTGAGGCTGCTGGAGAATGCAGATGACCGGGAGGCCAGCTACATGCTGAAGGCATCGTCCCAGTGAGTACAACAGTCGACCTGCCAGCGCTGAGCACTGCTCTCTCCCTACACCCATGCAAGGGCAGCACCCTGCCTGCATGGGGGCCAGATCTCCGGGCTTACTGGGCTCAGGCAGGCAGAGGTGCCACCGCTGCAGCTGGGCTGGCCCTACAAACCTCTCTGCCCAGCATTGTTCTCCTGAGGCCGCCTTTGGTCTCTCCTACTGAAAGGCACTAGTGAACTAGGCAGGTTTCTCTCCTGTACGGCGTATTTGTAGCATCCCGGGTGGAAGATGGATGGGCACTTTGCACTCTGGGACAGAGAGGTCAGAAATCACCCCTGGCACAGAAGCCTAACTGATTTACAGCCCGTAGCATATTCAGAAAGTAAAAGCAAGTAGGATGTACACTGTGCACACTCCAGCGGCTCAGCTGGCTCACTCAAAGATCCAGGCTGTGGCTGACCAGCCTTGTGAAGCAGAGTGGCTCCTGCTTGTAGGCAAATGTGGAGAAGAGGCCTCTTCCTCAGCACCTTCCACAGGCGATGCCAATCTTGCGCAGCCCTTCTGCTGCTCGGGGCCTCCTTGTCTCCCTGGATACAGGTTTTTTTGGCTCACTGATTTTTCACTTCAGACTCCAACAAGCTAGCTCAGACTGGGCAAATAATTCAGCTGCACTAACACAGACCTGATTGTTTTTGAGCTCAGGGCATGGCTTCCTCATTGACCCGAGCCTTACCAGGCCCATGTTTTCGAGGCACAGCATCTGTGCTATTACAGGTGTACGTGTCCCACCAGTTAAACAGCTACCAGAGATGATGCGCACCCCCAGCTTGATGTTACTTTGCTGTCAGTATGCCAGCGTTCGACATCCACACCCCTTAACGGATGTCAGCCCCACCTGGGACGACATCCTGCTGCAAGCCGGGGGGCTGCACCCTGACCCCCCCCAACGCAGTGCAGCACTGGCATCAGGAAGACGAGCCCCCAGCACAGCGAGCAACTGCACCTTCTCTCTAGACATGTGACTGCAGCTCTGCTGTACTGAAAATAGAGATGTCAGTCACGTTATGCAGGGCAAACGCACATTTTGACGTCTGTGAGACTTAGCTGTTCAGAGAACTGTAAACCAGGCCAGGGTTTGCCTCAGCTCAGGGGAGGCAATTGCAGTTCTGTGCTTCTGCATCCTGTCCCGTCTTCTAGATGGCCACAGTGAATATGTGATCCAGCACACAGCTTGCCAACAGGTCTTGTGCACTGAAACATGCTGTAGCAACTGCTGAAGACTGCTGTCCCAGAGCTGCTGGGATGATCAGGGCAGTACCAGGCACAAACTGAAAACTGAAGAATTAGAAGCGATAAATGCGTGCCAAACAGAGACTGCTGCATCTTGTTCCACGGCTCTTGCAGCATTGCCCAGCTCTGAACCTGTACAGCAACAATGACTTGCTTGGTGGCAGCTTGCAGCTAATGCCCTGGGTGGGCTCTGCCAGGAGCTGGCAGTACATTTGGACACAGCTGGTCACAAGGGCAGGTCTGAAGCACAGGTGGACCACTCGCAGGCTGAGAGAAGCTGGGGGCTGTGGGCAGGATCCAAAGAGCCCCGCAAGGAGCTGTGTGCAAGGCCAGCCTGCAGATAGGGCCACAAGCACAGCAAGACCCTTGATTTGATCTCTGTGTGCCAACCCCTCAGCGCACAGAGTCCTCATCCTGCACATCTTCATGGCATGAGGGGCCGCACTCAACCTGCAGCTGCGGGTGTTTTCACTGGTCCTTGGCATCGCGCTTCAGCCCTGAAGCACAAGGTATTCCCAGCCCTGCAGATCACCCTGCCAGCACTCGTCCTTCACATCTCCCTTTTAGGCCTCTCTCCTCCCAGAAGACACTCCAGTGGCTTTAGATGTGTGTCAAGTTCAGGCTTTAAAACTACCATCTAAGAAGGCAGAAAGTTCTGGCTCCCTCAGGGCTGGGAGCACAGGTGGTCCTCCAGGCAGGAGCTGGAGCCTGTGAAGATGAACTGCCCTGTTTCCAAGCAGGGCTGAGGGAAGCCTTGAGGGAGCACCAGGCCTGGGGCTTCTCCAGCACCTGTGAAATCTTCACCCTCCCGCTGCAGGCCCAGGTTTTGCATAACAGCATGCTGGATCTGGCGACGTGTTCACACGGGTCTCTTGTCTCATCTGCTGCCAAGTGAGCGGTACCCTTGGTATGCCGCAGCATTCATCTGCAAGTGAATTAATCAGCTCTGCCCTTTAAATGTTCCTGCACAGCAGCTGCGGGAATAAATGGTTCCTCTAACTGCTTTTCTCCAGGAAAAACTGCTCCTATTGACCCAGCCCAGCCAGGAGGTGCCGTTGCTGGTTAGACCTCAGAGGATGCCAGGCCCCCCACCCTGCTGCTAGCTCCCTGAAGCCATGCTGCTCCCCAAAGGGGGAGTCCTGCTGCTTGTGGGGACAGCCAGCCTGGTGGCCCTGCAGCAAGCCAGGCCTGTGCGGCAGGGCCCAGGGCACTGTGGCACGTGTGACATCCCAGCTGGTGTGTGCGAGGGGGGGGCTCAGCATCACCAGTGAGTCCAGGATCCTGGGGGAACAGGCAGGAAAGGGCCATGAGAGGAGGAATTAGGAGCCCAGGACTGGCTGGGTGGGAGATCTGGGGTCCCTATGACTGTCTCATGCTCACAGCCTCGGTTTGTCTTCCCTATCCAGGAGCGAAATGAAGCGCTGGATGATTTCGCTGGCCCCGAACCGGAGAACCAAGTTCGTTTCATTTACATCCAGACTTGTTGGTAAGAGACACAGCATAGGAGCCAGGAGCTCTTTACCCTTTCCCCAGGGCACCTTATTCTGCCCTGATCTCAGTCCAACCCCAGGCCTGGGGCCTCTGCCGAAGCTGAACCCTCTCCCTGGGCTCCCCTTGTGTTTCCACCATCAATACCCACTTGTCTCTGGGCCTGGCCCTGACCTTCCTCCCCTCCAACCTGGGCTGGGCTGCACCAGTGCTCTCCCTCCCACCCAAGCTGCTCATTGGTGGCACCGCGGTGGTGGTGTGCACCCAGCTGGCTTCCCCACAGAGATGCTCCCCTCATCCCTGTGGCTGGGGCACCCCTTGGCCTCCGTGGGTTTTCTTATCAGATCAGAGGGACCATTCACAGAGCTCGTGGTGCTACGCCCACCCGAGCCGTGCTGTCCTGCAGCACGCTCCATCCCAGTCCCTCCCTCACTCTCGCCCTGTTCCCTGGCAGACTGCCCGCAGATCCAGTGTGTCCACCCATACGTGGCCCAGCAGCCAGATGAGCTGTCCTTAGAACTGGCTGACGTCCTCAACATCCTGGACAAGACGGACGATGGTACGGGGGACAGGATGGGGCTGGGCTGGGAGTCCCTGTGGAAGGGTGGGCTTCGCTTGGCAGACGGCTGCCAAGCAGACAGGAGAGGCCCTCCGACCAGGGAGAGACCCTGGCATCAGCATCACAGCCGAGGGAGCTCACAGCAGGATGGGGGAGTTACTGCCTCCTCCTAACACTCGGCAAATCCAGGCTGTCCTGAGCTGTGGCAATGCTGGCACAGCCACCCTGGCACTGGCTGTGGGCCATGGCAGGGCTGGCACAGCCACCCCAGATATAACCCAGGGCTGTTCTTACCTTGATGATGCTTCCCAGCCACCTGGTCCTGGTCTCTGGGACACACTTTGCAGCTGGTGGACTCGGTCACACTGGGTCTCTGCTGGAGACCACTCCTGTGGCATCAGGGGCAGCAGAGGGCACTCGATGACAGCAGTGACTGATTTCTGCTGGTATCCCTTCAGCCACTTGTCCAAACACAGTGCTGCTCAGGCAAGCAGGCCTCCTTGGCTAGATTTACAAACTGGGTCTGCTCCAGCACAGGCCTCCGAGCAGCTCCCAGAAAGCACTGCCAGCTCCATAGGCTCTTTCCAGCACAACTGTCCCAGCGCAGAAGCAAGGGCCAGTCCTTCCCCATTTATGCCTGTCTCTGTCTCTGCTCAGGCTGGATATTTGGGGAGCGTCTTCACGACCAGGAGAGGGGCTGGTTCCCCAGTTCTATGGGGGAGGAGATCCTGAACCCCAAAATCCGAGCCCAGAACTTGAAGGAGTGTTTCCGGGTGCACAAGTCGGACGACAGTCAGCGGAGGAAACTGGGCAGCAGAAACCGCCAATGACCGCTGACGTCCCCGGGCGTCTGGAGTCCCTCTGGGAGAGGGGCAGAGGACAGAGGCTGCCAGCTGGGAGGATGTGGCGGTGGTGCTGTGGGCCATGGTGCAGGACCTGGTGTGCTGGACCAGGCACATGCACACCCCTGAACAAACAGACTGTAGTTCCTGGGCTCCCCGCCATGCTTCCTGCGGCACTGATCCTTTCCTAGAGATCAGTGCTTCGAACTGGCTAAAATAACCTCTTTCCACGTGTTCCGTAAAGCCCCAAAGAGCACGAGCCGAACAGACACAGCCCAAAGGCCACGGGGTGCTGGCCAACTGACCCCCATTCCCTGCACACGTGCTAGCTGGGGCTGGCTCAGGCCACTTGGGAAAGGCACGTGGCCACAAACATAGCTAAGCAGTTAATGTCGCCCAGTTTGAGCACTTACAGCTCATCGCTACCTTTTGAGTTTGGGGCCCTCCTAAAGCAGCATCTTACAGGGGCAGAAACTGAAGCAGAGGAGCTGTCTTGCCGCCTCTCACACAGCCCGTTGGCACCAGCCTGGGACGAGCCCCAGGAACTCCACCTCCCCAGTCCTGCTATGAAGCCGCCGGGCCCATTCCCACAGGCAGACCCTCAATCTGCTTCCAGTCAAATGCTCTGAAATGCTCCATACCCAGCCCTGCTCCACCAGCAGCCCAACCTCACCAGCCCCAACCCAGGTCTCTGCCTGCTTGATGGCCTTGAAGCACATCTGGGCCCTGCCCCATGGCTCACCACCTCTTCCACAGCCGGCATCCCTCCGCAGAGCCACTGCAGAAGCCTGGCACCGCGGCCTTTCCTGGTTGATCTGGCACTCACGGTCTCCGCTACTCACTGCCGCCGAGGCACAGAGCAGGGTGGCTGTGCCACTGTCTCCCTGCACACCACCACATACCACGGGAGCACCAGCAGACCTGGGCTGCCACGCAGCAGGCGAGTGACGTTACCCCAGGAGCTGTTGTCCTGCCTGTTGTGGGAGGCCCAGCGATCGCTGCCTGCATGCTTGTAACCCACACCACCCAGCTGTGCGCGCAGCCTGCGTGCACAGACTCCCTGTACAGGCTCACCTCCATGTATATAGGCGAATCCTCTGTCGTCAGCAAAGCCAGATCACCGCTCCTTCCAGCTGTGGCACTGAGCATCGCATGAAGCCCAGGGCACAGCACTGAGACTGGCCAGGGGACGGACCCATGGCAGCCAGCTGTTGTTCAACAGCCTCGCTCTGAACAGTCCCACATGCGGCCACAGCCGAGGGCCTCTTGGCTACAGGCTGGTCCTGAGCTGCAGCCAGCATCCATCAGGGAAATCGGTTATTTGGCATCTTTCTGTAACACTGCAAAGGAGAGTCTTCCAGGCGCCGCGGCCTGCGCTGCTGTACGCTCTGGCGGTGCCACAGTTGTGCTCGAAAAGGGGATGGAGAGCAGCCGCCTGCTGACGGAGCCACACACCAGCCACAGGCACAGAGTGGAGGAGCACGGCCGTGCCGGTGGCAGCGCGGCAAGGAAGCGGGATGCCGGGGAGCTGCTGGAGGGGGGCTGGTCTTCGGGCCACACGGGCCCAGGTTACACATGGGGTGCGTGGTGTGAGGCCAGACCCAGCTGAGGGCCAGGGCTGTCCTGGGGGCTGTCTGTGCTGCCACCGCAGCCCTGGGACAGCTGGCCCAGGGTCAGCCCTGCACTGAGGGGGCTGCAGCCAGCCCCCAGGACCAAACTGGTGGGAGCCACAGCAGTGAAGAGAGCACGAAGGGGTTCCCCCCTCAGGCCTAGCTTAGTGCCATGTTAGCATGTGACAACAGCCGGCAGGGCTCTGCCTACCCCGGCCACCCGTAGCAGCCCCAAGAGAGGGCCCCTGGGCAGCTCACACCAGCTGGAGGCTCCCGGCCACCTGCCAGCACCCAGCTCAGAGTGGGGGGCCAGGAAGGGACCACAGCTTCCAGTCTGGTGCTTCGAGCTCATTTAATGGGGAGACCCCAAGTCAGATCCCCCCAGCAGCACCCCGCAGTCAGCTTTGAGTACAACCAAGCCTCCAGCTCAGGGTTCAGACCTTGCAGCGGCCAGAAATTCTCTATAGCAAAACCCAGAGAAGCTCCAGCTCTAGCAGTCCTTAAAATTACCTGAGAAATGGCCACATCCCAGATCCTCCAGCTTTGCAGCACAGCACCCAGCCCAGCCCAGGCACTGCAGCCCCACACGCCCACCTGGGATGTTTCTCATAGCACAGAAATGCTCCCTTACCCACCAGAACTGCTCTTTCGCTAGCGGAGGGGCTGACCCAGGTTCCCCAGTACCAGGGCACCGGTTCCTCGCTGCATTTTTCTGGGGGGAGAGGGGCTGCGACCCACCGTCAAGCCCTGGGACCTGCCCCAGACCCTCTTGGCTCTGTTGTGACTTCTTAGGACTCCAAACCCTAGGCACAGGCCGTGCCATTTTCAGGCACCAAGTGGCATCCAGTGTTATTTCCTCAGACCCAGCCCTGCACGCCTCCGTTTCAGTGGTCTCAAGTGTTGTACAGGGCCAGGCCTGGGGCCCACAAGCATGGGCTGGAGCCCCCCCCAGGCTGCCTCAGCAAACTGAGGGGAACTTCTCGTCGTCTCGTTTTTCCGTGTGATGAAATATAGCTGAGCAAGCCAGCGCCAAAGCAACACGCGTGCGTCTTCTTCCTACCCCCACACGACCACTCGCCTCCTCCCCAGTGCGACTGGTGGGGGGAACTGGCCCAAACGCAGCGGGTGGAAGTGGGGCTGAACATGAACGTGAGGTGAGACCAGGGAAGTATCACAGTGGTTTACACCAACTGAACAACCCTTCCCAGGGAAAGCTGTGGAAGGGGATGCCGAACACCATTACTGCCACCCAGGCTAGACCGAGAGCGCTGCTGCCCACTCAAAGCCACTCGCTGCCACAGGTCCTTCCTGCCTGGGGGGGTGGCGCTGCCTGCTGTGGCTGAGCCTGCCAGGTCTGCCTGCACCCAGGAGATACACACGCTAAGAGCGCTGCGGGGTGCAGCTTTGCTGCCTGGCGCGCCCTTTCCCACATCCACAGCAGCGTTTTTCCCTAGGGAACCCCAGGCAGACGGGGAGCAGGAGCAGTCGAGGGCAGGAGACAGGCTGGTTGTGTTACAGAAAAAAAACTTTTATTGAGTTCAGGAGGCCGAGAACTTTCTCAGCGTGATGACGACCAAGGCCACAAGCACAGACGTACCCAGGAGGGAGGCGATGACAATGGCACCGATAGCTCCGGGCCCCAGCGAGCCTGCAGGGACAGAAGGAGGTGGCGTGAGGTCAGCAGAGGCGGCGGGTCCCAGATGGGAAGGGCGATGGGGATGACCCCCCGCACCCAGCACATCCCCGGCCATCGGGGCACGTTCCTGCCCCAGAGCTCCCTGCACTGGCCATAGCGGCCCTGTTCCCGTGTCCCCACACAGCCGAGGTGCGGTCCTGTGCCCCAGCGGCATTGAGCCCTTGGGCAGGGGGCTAGAGCCAGCCACTTGCCCCTTGGTCAGGTCCTGGTGACAAGGACAGGTGCCACAAAGCGGGTCTGTGGCACTCAGCTTTCCTCTTAACACCCGTACCGGGGGAGTTGCTTTGCTTGTTGCAGAACCGCATCACAACGGGCGTTTGCTGTAGTTCAGGAGCCAGGGAAAGGGGTCACGCTCCCCGTTTACAGGGCTTCAGGCACACTCTTGCCCTGGAGCCTACCTGGGCGCGAGGCACTTCTTGCTGCTGCCTGCTGTGATGTGTCAGACCCAGGGCAGGAGGAAAGGCCTCGGCAGCCCCCTGCCAGCGCAGTGTGGCTGGGGACAGGCCACCTCTGGTGGCTCAAACACCTCCTGGGAGGCAACAGGCCCATAAGAGCAACTCCACAGTGAGGACTTGCCGGGCCGCTGCGGGAGCGACCCGCTGGCAGGCCATCGCACAGCCACGTACCGTCCCCGGCGTCCAACCGGTGCAGGTGTGTGGTGTCCTCGGGCTCCAGCTCGGAGGTGTACGGGGGGAAGGCGGTGGCATCTGAGAGACGGGCTGTGGTGGTGGCGGCGTCAAAGGGGCCAGCTCCAGAGGGCAGCTCGGGTGGCTCGTTCCAGAGGGTGGGGACTGGGCCCTGCGGGTACTCTGCTGGGAGACAAGCACCCACGGTCACTCATGGGCATGGGTGGCCCTGGCCATGCTGCTGGTGACAGCGGCAGCTCAGGACAGCCACAGCTCCGCAGGGCCCTGGGCTCCAGCTGCCTGCTGAGTGCCCCAGAGCGGATGGAGGGCAACCCCGAGGGCTGAGAAACCCCATGGGGCAGAGCCCTCCTCTGAGAGGACACCGCCTCCGCAGAGCACCAACACCCAGAGCAGCCGAAGGCAACGACCCTGCCCCGGGGTGAAACCACACTGCCACAGGCTTTTGTGGCAACCTGGTGTACACACAGCACACATGGGACAACAGCTCCCCACAACCGAGCGACCTCTGCTCGTGCACAAACAGGCCCTGCATGAACATCTGCGGCCTTTTTGCTCGTGGATGCCCGTGGGACTGGGCTGGGAGGGGCTGTCGCATTCCT